CAGTCGTCTGTTACCTGGGGATAACTGAGAGGTCGAAGTCTGTCATAGTCCTCCTGGCCAGCAGTGTCCCACAAACCTAGACTGACAGGCACACCATCAACCATCATGTTGGCTGTGTAGTTGTCGAACCTGCAGGTCACAACACACAAACAGATGGAAATACAAGGTTATTCAAAATGATGGATACTATTTTATTCATGTATATTTCCTTGAATATACATTACAAAATGATAATATAAATACAAGAGACAGAGAGAAAGGTCTCAGGTTTACAAATTTCCAATAGAGATTACAGGTAGTGCTCTCTGCACACATAAAAAGTATTTTTCTGTGTGATAAGGCACAAAAGACATTTACCTTTGGTGAGTCTCTCTCTCTCTCCCGTAAATCTTTTTGTGCGGCAAGGCTCTAGCGGTAGTTTTCACAACTTTAGACTTCCGCTCTATCTTCTATATAATTATTTAATGTATATTCTAGAAAATATTTGCATGAGTAAAAGTATATCAATAATTTTGAATAATCCTGTACCTTGGTACAAAATTTTACCAATCTCTTGACATGTATCGCCCTGTGATTTTTCTCCTCCTTCCACGCTTACCTTTATAAAATGGCGGTTGATTTTGTCAGGATTTTATTTAGTGCTCTTCTGAATGTTCTGTGTACACTGGTTTCTATTTCTTGTTTTTTTTTATGCTGTCATTCCATCCTTTTTGTGATGTTCTCTCCTCCCTGTGCTCATCAGGTTTATTCAACATGGCTTTCTGTGGCTATCAGGACTAGGGTATGTTTGAAAAATCTCCCTCTTATTAGACACATTTCTTTTTATTTCTTCTTAAATTTAGTCACATGTCCAGTTTTCAATTTCAGTGATTTTTTTTCAAAATCAATATCATGCTCTTTTCTTTATCTTCTTTTGCATTATTTTATTTGCTTTGAGTTTTGTATTTTTAGTTTGTATTTTCAGTTTGTTGATAGACAACAATTATGGAAAGTAATTACTCGATACGGAGTAAGTGAACACCTCACTGAAGTTTGCAAAAGCTTAGATGGAGACTGAAGAACCATAGTTAGAATAACATCCAAACCATTCAAAGTAGCATCTGGAGTAAAATTGGGATGTGTCTTATCACCACTCGTGTTTATCACTCCCATTGACAGTATAAGCAAAGAGGCCAAGCCCAAGAACAAAAATAATTGTAACAACGAATTACTCTTTGCTGACAACCAGGCCTTGACTGCAGATACATCAATGAATTTACAACACCTCACATCCTTGTAAACCAAATAACAGGAGAATCAACATCGAAAAGACAGAGGGAATGTCAACAGGAAGAAAGAAGCAGAATGTAAATATAGCATTTGAGCAGAGATATATTAAACAGGCATCTAAGTTTAAATATCTTGTAATAACAAACACTGAAGATGGTAAATTACCATCCAATGCAGTAATGCAGGCCAAGTATTGGGACAGCTAGTCCCCCTCTTATAGCATAAGGCAATCCCAATCAGCACAAAGAAACATCCTATACACAGCATATTCATTGCCACTGTATGCTATCAGTGCCAGATGTGCTCATTCACAACAAAACATAAAAGAAAATTAGTAACCATGGAAATGAGGTGTCTGAGAAAGACTGTAGGAGTGACCAGGAGAGATAAAATCAAGAAGGAGGTCAGATGAGATAAAGTTGGCACAGAACCAATTCTAAATTACATACAAAGAAAGCAAATTAAATGGTTTGTTCGCTTGGAGAGAATGCCTTCTGATGCTATACCATACAAGGCAGAAACAAAAAGAAAAGATGGATGTAGAGCGAGAGGTAGACCAAGAACCATATGGGTAGATAACATCAGAGAAACTCTACAGCACTACAATGTGTTTATGGTTGAAGCAGCCAGAAGAGTACAAAGCAGGACCTTATATCTCCCTTAACACCAGAAGCAGAAAAAGAGGATGTAAAGAAGAAGAGGGAGATTAAACCTATGTGAAATCAATGGAATGATCATCACATCAGATGTCATAACATTGAAGATCCCTAATATCATCTTGTTTCTAGCAACCCGTATTCATATATTTCTAATATTTACATTGTATGAACACATTCTCCATGACAACTGTCTTGTGTATGAGATCAACAACATATATGTTTTACCAACAGTAACAACAATACAGTTACACTGCAGGAACATATTCTCTATGAAATCTGGCCACTGCGTATGAGATCAACATACACATTTTACTAACTGTACCATCACCAAAACCAACAAAGCATAACTAAACTTAGATTGTAGGGACATATTTTCTAAGAAAACTGTTGTGAATGAGATCAACATTCATGTTTTACCAACAGCACCAACAACAAAGGTACACTTACACTGTAGGAACATATTCTCCGGGAAAACTATCTGTTGTGTATGAGATTAACATACATGTTTTCCCAACAGTACCATCACCGACAACAACACATTTAATAGGCCGGCCTTGTGCCATGTCTGTCATTTGTTGCTCTGGTAGAACAACCAAGCCTCTAAGCCGATGCTGACTACAGTCAATATCTCTGCTGAAATGTACATACAAATTTGGTTTTAACAATCATCACTTGAAAACTGTCATCATATTTTTACAAGAAGCCTTTCATATCTGATGAAAGAACATGAGTAAAGCAGGGCACATTATGGTTAGTTCTGTCCATACTCCACAGCTATGGATTCAGCTGTATTACAGATCTGGCTAATGGTAACATATTTGTTTAGGGTGACCAGCTGGTCACCAGTTTGCTAGTACTCTTGTTCTCGAGGGGAGGTGTTTTCATTATGTGAAGGTGATATGATACCACAACATCAAGCTTAAGAATGGAGGTGGAGGCAATCACTGCAGCTTTTCCCTGGTTAGAGAACACGACACATACACACACATCATGATTGAAACTGACTCAAAAAGCATGCTGAGGAAGATCAGGACAGGCATGCTTCGTGCAGAGTGGCATGCTTCGCTACGGAAAACACATGTGAGGAGTATTGTCTGGATTTTTTTTACCTGGGTATGCCGGTGAGTTGTGAAATAAACAGGCAGACAGACTGGCTGGCTCTGCACAACTTGATGGAATACTGATAAATGATAAGGCAGACCTGCTTGGTGCCTTGTGGGAGAGTGTGCACAGTTTGGAGGAGCAGATGGATCACCACAGTCTGCGGAAACTGATGCAGGAAAGGGGGGGGGGGGGGGGAGGGGGGATGACGAGAGGTTCTGGCAGATGCTCAACACTCAGAGAAAAGACAAGATGGGTGTTTAATCAGAATGCTACTGGCACCATTGGTATCGGAACTCTTCGCTGGCTGCTAAAGATTGGGATGGAGCGCTTATGGGAATTCCCCGTGTGCTGTGATGTCGAGTCTTGAATCAAATCAAATCAAGTGAAGGTGAGATGTTTGTCTCCTGGTATGGGAACTACAATATTAAATTGTTATGTTATCTGGTGTCTTTCTTCTTCTTCTTTTGCGTTTACCCTTAAAATGGTGTTTGATATGTTGTGTTTTGGTTTACAGCTAGGCTGTGATGTGTGCGCCCACTGGTCTAATGCATTCGTGTGCACCAAGTGGTCTACTGCATCCGACTCCAGCAAATTATTCATCAGACAGCATTTATGACATGCTTGATGTTAAGAAGCAGAGGATCTACTTTTTTTTCCGCCAAAAATAGGGCTCCAGAAGCCACACAGGGATAGTGTCTTTGAGTGTGAATCAAAAACCATGTCAATTTGTTTATCACTCATTAGACCTATCAAAGCAGTGTTGACTTCACTGGGGGAACCCAACCTGGAAACGCTGTCACAATATGTAAGTTACAGACACAATGGCAGGAGCATATCAGGACTATTTTAACTCTTTCTGAGTTCCAAGGAACACATCACACACTAATATTTTAACTCTTTCCGAGTTCCAAGGAAAACATCTCACACTAATATTTTAACTCTTTCTGAGATCCAAGGAACACATCACACGCTAATATTTTAACTCTTTCCGAGTTCCAAGGAAAACATCTCACACTAATATTTTAACTCTTTCTGAGATCCAAGGAACACATCACACACTAATCGGTTACTACCCAGCCACCCAATCGACGCGTGGCCAGTAAAGGTTTTTAATTTACCACTGACCAGCGTAAAAATTTGACCTGCACAATTAAAACTTCCTCTCCAGTTCTTTGTGTTTGATATCACATGTGTTAACCATCGCTGTATTTTGAAACATAGTTACAAGCGTAACATATGTTTGCAAGGTTTACCGAGTTACTAAGTGTTTGTCTGATAACAAAATGGCAGCCGAGCAGAATTCTACATGCATGCCAGCATGATTTACAGCTTTAGAAGCCTCACATTTCAATAAAACATGTTTATCAGATTTATCTGGTCAAATGGAACAAGTTATGAAGTTGACTTGTTTCGGTCACTGATAGGGTCAAACTTTGATAAGGGATAGCCTGAATATATATACCTCATGCAGAGCATACAGCGATAACAAAGTGAAAAAGCTTCTTTTTTTTAATTGTCAGTGATAGTGCCATTCCCCTAATTATTTAGGACACAGCTACAAAATTATTGGAGAATTTAGCAATTTATTAACTTTGTTTTGTGGAAAAATACTAAATGTTTTGGAAAGTCCATTCTCTTTACCAAATAATGGTACTCTGCTATGATGCTACACATGTTTCCTGGAACAAGAACTAGTGTACAGAGTTTATATTTTACTTATACATTACTAAGTGGTTCATATTTATTTGTAATTCATTCTGGATATATTTTGGTAAGTTTTCCTTGAGCGTAAGTAAGTAGAGGTGTTGTAGAAACATTATTATCTCATTTTACTAATTTTTCTAAACATACCACCTGTTTATTTACTAACATTTAACTACTAACACAATTATTTGTTGTAATAGTGTTCTAATATTATTTCTCAACAATCCCTGATCACTTTGATGGATAATATGTGTATGTTGTGCGACTGTTGAATCTATTTTAATGTGTTACATTTGTGAAACTTAAAAAATTCCATTGTCACCCCTTGGGCTTTTAACCTCCTGGGACTCAAAGAGTTAAATAATTCATAAACAAATTAGAAAATTACTTCAAACAAGTTAAGACAGTTTTAATTGTTTCAGTACCAAGGAATTGTTAAATTTTGCTAGTTCTTATGAGTATATTCTTTAACTCTTTCAGGCCCATGAATTTTGACAGACTTGGCTCACATTAATTTCCCTTTACAAAAATGGCAGAGGGGGTGGTTAAAAAAAAAGCAACTGTGAATGTAATATATTTATAATCCCTATAAAAGTATATATTTTTTTTTAAGAGGAATGAATGTACATTTTGAATCTGATGATTTGTTTTTGTTCCATACTGTTACAGTAAGTAGACCACACAAAAAACAAGAATTTAGAATTTTTATCCAAAAAACTTCACTTAAATGGTTTTGCAGCTATAAGAACAGTGAATATCCATATTTACAAATAACAGTTTAAAGTCTGTTCAGTTTCCTAATAAATTCAAAAGTTATGATAGATTTCTGGGTTAGTTGATCAGAGGCTCAAGGTTTTCACTTAGTGCTGATCACAATTTTAAAGAAAACAATGGCAGAAAATTGGACCTATAGTCCTATATACACAATGATTTAAGTGCAGCTCTAGCAATAGTATAGGTAAGGTACTGTCTGAAACAGTACTTTGGATGCAAATGTGGGTGGCTATCACATCCTTCGCAAATGAAATGGTTCCTCCTGGATTTACCTCATCAAAAGGCTCAGCTGCTGCTGGGGACAATTTTCAGTCTGAATCAATTTCTAAAATATTTCAATTTTCATTATTAGAAAACATTTGACTGAAATAAATTCAAAGCTTCATTTTTCGGATCAGTTCGCGCCCACATGCATGTGAACATAGAACTGTTTACAGAGAAACAGGTCAGAGTAACCTTAGCTGAATATGATGGTAGGTCCAAACAATGGAAACATATACGATTATACGTAGCTGTGGGTGAATCAATATGTACAGGACACCAGATCAACAGTGTTTCGGGGCAAACTGGAACTCAATACACACACACACACACACAGCGTTGATCGGGCCTCAAAGAGTTAAGTTATCTGTTAGAAATAAAATCAAAATACTGCGTCCTATGGACTATGGTACAGAAGAAGTATGCTATGCTGCGTCAGTTGAAACCACCAGACAAACATATGAATTATGAATAGTGGCTTGTTACTGACAATGTTATAGTGAATGAATGAGTTATTTCAATAAAACACATTCAACACTGCATGATGATAATTATGAGAGATATAAAATAAAGAAATTTTGGTACTATAAATTATAAAAGTTGAAAGTAAATAAAAACCGTATTTAAAAAAAAAAAAATCATTTAAGCTTGACACAACTATAATAATAGTACAACTACAATAAGATTACTATTGAATAGTCTATTCGGTTTGAACATGAATGCGTGGAATAATGAATAAAGTACGGACCAGGGAGGAAGACAGCCCACTCCCAGGCAGGACTAATCTGTCCTCCTTATCTGTGGTTCCTGATGAGTCAGTCGGTCTGCTGGCACCGAAGAGCAAGATACTGCTAACTAAAAAACGAATGTTGCCTCCCTCCAACAACTTGAGATGGCTGAGATTTGCAGCAAGGATATCGCTTCGTCAACTAAATCATTTTATTTTAAACTACACGATACACACATCATTTACCCTATCTTTAAGGCGCATATAGACCATCTATTTGAAAGTCTTGCAGAGAAACGACAGTCTGTTCTCCTATCCAGCGATCCACCCGGCCACCTACATGGCTGCCATATTATTCACCATACCTGGCTAAATATAACAGCCAATACCAGACGATTACAGCAGTTGTCCGGGGTGCTCTCCCTTGGCTTGTCTTTGACGGCTGCTACACTCTTTGTTGTCATTGACTGGCGACGGCGACCATGTTTTATCTTTTATGTCAGTGTACAATTTTTGTCATAAAGGAAATATAGAAACGATGGGGGGATGGGGGACACACCAGAATGTGCATTAAAAGACCAAAAAAATATATCTGGTGGCATCCTAGTTGAAGGACATGTAGTCGAAGAATTTCATTGACGAATCGTTGCGCATTCAAGCTTACTTCAATGTGCACCAATTGACGGCTTCCGTTGTAACTGATTACTTACCACGCCATTACACCTGCACCACCGTACAGCAGAGCTTCATCAACACAATTTTGGGCTAAACCTTTATTTCACCTACGGTAGATCCTACACCATCTATCATGACGCTGTACCCAAAAAAAAATCGTTACCGAACCAGACACGTCTCCATTGATTGTCACCTGCCCAGGGACGATGTTCATTGCCCAAAGAGGTCAATTTTGGCGGTGGCGACGCGTAAGGACTGGTCCTTGGTGTGATCGTCGTGCCCAAATGCATGCAGTCTCTTCCGAACGGTTTAATCAGACACATGACA